GGCTACGTGTCTTGCTAAACAGGTCTTATCTCAATTAACCTTCACGAGGAAGATACACTGTCATCATCTCATTCCACATATGAAGACTGGAGCTTCCAGTATGAAGTAAGTAGCCTGAGATAACATCCTAAGTGGAGGAGTCAGGATCCAAACCACAAAATAGGTCTGCTTATAAATTAAATTATACTGCTTCTCAGTGTGCTAGGGGCTTTATCCTGTAGGATTATCCAATTTGATGATCTCATCAGCTTGTGAGGAAGGAACTCTATTTTTCAGAGGTAAAGAAACTGAAGTTTGGAGAGGTGAAGAAAACTGAACCAAGATGACACAACTGGTAATCGGTACTATTTATTTGGTAGTAACTGTATTGACAGGACATGAGCAGTTGAACTTCTCATGATCTATCTATATATATAAAAGCCTAAGCGACCGAATGACCAGTCAACTGATCACTATGATGTGCACTGACCACCAGGGGACAGACATTCAATGCACAGGATCGGGCTCCCTCCTGTCTGGATCAGGCCTGCGGGGATTGGGCTCCCTCCTGTCTGGATTGGGCCTGCGGGGATCGGGCCGAAACCAGCTATCTGACATCTCCCAAAGGGTCCCGGATTGTGAGAGGAGGAAGGCCAGGCAGAGGGACCCCATTGGTGCACGAATTTGTGCACTGGGCCTCCAGTTGATAATATTTGCAAACTCAGTTTAACAAAAACAGTGATGACTAACTAGCAAAAGCTTCTCAAGTGATAAGGCATAGAAAGGAAAGAGTTCGATGCTTAAAATATGACTTCATTTGAAACAAGTGGAGGGACGCGGCAGAAATCCACATAGTTAGGGGCACTTATATCAGTGCTGAGTGTTTACTGCCTATCCATAAAGACCACTCCCTTAGCACCTTAAAGCAACTCCTTGTTATATCCAACAACATTTCCCACATACAGTGAAGTCAGGACGGGCACAAGAAGTTTTCTGACTGTCGCAACCTCTAGAACAGAGTTTCTGTTTCGTTAATGAACGAATAATTCAGAGGTCCTGTTTTCAACAAACCTGAAGAATTCGGGCAGGTGGTTGAACCCCATTTTGCCTTATCCAACTAAGCCCTAAAACCAACTGCAATCTATCTTGGACTTTTTTCAAATGATCAGTAAATAGACTTATTTATAACCTATGAATCTAAAGGTAATACCACCAATTTGCCAAAGAAATAATATAAACATAATAATAAGCCTGATAAAAAAACACTGCCAAAATTACAGCAAGTTTTTTAGCATATTTAATTAGACCCCAAACTCTTCCCTGTCCTCTTCTCTCCCCAATTATGTACCATTTGCTCAAGAGACCTAAGCAACTCAGTTAATTATGTAAATAAGGCAAGCATTATTCCCAAGAAAAGCATTGTGAATAAATATAGGGGAAAAAACCTACATATTTTAGTGGCTTTAACAAACCTTTGAAAAATACATGGGAAAACCTTACATTTGAGGTAAAAAGCATGGTGTTCAATGACAAGACGGTGAATCATTTTAAAAGGACACTCATTTCACTTCTTAAATATGAGCTGAATAAAAATAAAATAATTTTAAGTTACAACAGCAACAAAAATTTAGTGCTGAACATCAAATGATTTATGGGAAGAATCAATCTGGAAATTATTAAAGTTGACTCTCACAGAAAAGGCTTTATTATCAAGGGGTTGACATGATCTTAACTCCAGAGGCAGCCATGTGCTCTTGTAACTACTACAATCCCATTATTATGCAATCACAAAATGCTAATTTGATCATTTTGAGGTGTTATTTGAATAGTCATTTTAATTTCTAGGTTACAAAAAGGCTTGACTCAAGTATAATTCTCTATTAATCATTGAGATGTCATTGAATATCATATTGATGCATTTCACAAAGATAAAGAAAGACTAATTTAATATGTACAGTACAATATCCTTCAAATATTAGCCACTTTCATTACATATCTGCCAAATGCATCAATATTAAATAATAGATGAGAACAAGGGTTTAATTATATTTTAGCAATTGTAATATGTAGGGTAATAATAAAATAGCATCTCATCACAAGATAGACTTATATAAATCTTTCTTAATCAATGTGTAATGGTGACTGCCCCACATTCTTTGATCACAAAGAGACTTGATATGACAAATGCATCCAGAGCCTTAAGTGTAAACACACATCTAGCAAAAATAATTCCTTTGTGACTGAAGAAATGGCTTCTTTACGTCTTTAAAAATTTCTCCTTGTTACTTCAGATGTTAGATAAATACCAAGCAGAGATCACAACCTTCTGACAAATTCAAACCTAAATATTTATATAAAAGAATCGAATAGTATGATGATGATGACAATTCTAGAATATAGTATTTTAAAAGATCTGTGCTATTCTGTTGGCATCAAAGCATTACCGCATATTAATTATTCCAGCAATTACATTCTCAAACAATGAGGTGGTTTCAGGCAATGGAAGAAAATAAATTCCAACCATGTAACCTAACCCGGTAACTTCTCACATATCTAAATGAATCAACTTAGTATTTAAGAAAAAAAAATCCTCTACAGCCCAACACGCCATTTTCCAGAGGCTGACATTCTTGTCCCCTAGGGGGACCCTTCCTTCTCTTTGTTGCATTCCACAAGAAGAAATAGGAGAAGGCAGTAGGGCAGGCTTAAAGAGAAGCTTTACATCAGTCAACACAACCTCTAATTTACTAAAAGTACGTTTATGAGCATATTATTATCTTTATGCTACCTATGCATTTTGTTTCCAGTTCTTGTTCTCCATCCCCACCAACATCAATAACCTCACATGCTGATGGCCATATATGCTTACTGAAGCCTATGGAAACATGCTGCATTGTATGAGGTAAAAGTGTTTTGGGTTTTTACGTTTTTTAATATATATTTTTATTGATTTCAAAGAGGGAGGGGGGGAGAGAGAGAGAGACAGAGACAGAGACAGAAAGACAGAGAGAGAGAGAAATATCAACAATGACAGAGATTCATTGATCTGCTGCCTCCTGCATGCTCCACACTGGGGATCGAGCCTACTATCTGGGTATGTGCCCTGACAGGGAATCAAACCGTGACCTCCTGGTTCAGAGGTCGATACTCAACTACTGCGCCATGCTGGCCGGGCAGGTAAAAGTGTTTTGAAGAGAAAACATCTTGCTCAAAGATGACAACTGACAGAAGCAGCACATAACCAGAACTTGAGTATGAAAAATGCAAACATAAGCAAAGAGCAGTATGTTTATTAATTGCAATGGTGTTGAAATAAGACAAATTGTACACAACCCCTCCAGGCAACAAGCTATCACTCAGCACCCCTACGCCACTGCCAGACAGCAAACATAATGGCGATAAATATAAAAATCAACTGCTACTGTCTTCTGAAAACGAGGCCCAGCTCAGCACGGAAACACAGAATGGCAGGGAATGGAGCAAGGGGTTGGGGGGGGACATGAAACTACACTCCACCTAAAATAGTGGCCATTTTGCTAAAAAGAAAATAAACTGTTACAATTGTGAATTATTATAAGAAAAGTCCCCTGCACAGCAAGTGTCAAAAAAGATTCCCTACAATGAAATATTGACAAGCGAAGCAATGGCCTAGAATTCTGAAATGAAGCTCTAAGGTTAATAATTCCTGTAGTTATAATACAGCATCAGACAAGACAATGCTGCCTCCCAGGACCACTTTCAAGACTTTCCCAACAAAATTAGACCTTGGTTAATCACAACCCAACTAACCCAAACCCTCAAGTACACTGAGGAGATAAAAAAAGAAAACAAACAAACAAAACACAGATACATATCTCAGGACTGGTTTTGTTTTAATCCTTCTAAACATATTACTACGGAAACAACATTAAACCCAGTTCACACCTTTTTACATTCTCAAAAAATATGAGTGACATTCTATAATTATCTTAGTCATTTTTTAAACCCCAAATCTAATAATACATAATAATACCAATAATTCCACTTGATTGAGGTTTTTACTTAGAGCAGTGATTTTCAACCTTTCCCATCTCATGGCATACATAAATTACTAAAATTCTGCGGCACACCAAAAATATATTTTTTGCCAATTTTCAAAAAAAACAGATATAATTTTGATTGACTTACAAAAATAGATATAATAATGATGACTGCCTACGCTTTTTGCTCCAAAGTGACTTTCAAAAAACAGGTGCCTATGCCCAGCCAGTGTAGCTCATGAGTGTAGACCAGCCGTGGACAAACTACGGCCCGTTTGAAATGAATAAAACTAAAAAAAAAACCAGACCGTACCCTTTTATGTAACGATGTTTACTTTGAATTTATATTAGTTCACACAAACACTCCATCCATGCTTTTGTTCCGGCCCTCCGGTCCAGTTTAAGAACCCATTGTGGCCCTCAAGTCAAAAAGTTTGCCCACCCCTGGTGTAGACACATGAACCAGGTGTAGATAAGAATTTCTGGTACCAAGAATTAACCAATCAGACCAACCTTATTATGCAATGTGACCAACAAGATGCAACTCTATCATATAACCTATAAATTTATGGTTCAAGATAGGGCTTTCACACCAGAAGGCTATTGTTATGTTGGCTGTTGTCTTTTTGACAACCTAAGGGAAAAGAGGTCAGTGCCCCTAAGTAGTCAGGTATTACATTTTCAAAAATTCTTGCAACACACTGGTTGAAAATCACGGACTTGCCCTGGCCAGTTTTGCTCAGTGGATAGAGCGTCGGGCTGCAGACTTAAGGGTCCCAGGTTCGATTCTGGTCAAGGACACATGCCCAGGTTGCGGACTCGATTCCCAGAGGGGGTGGGGAGGTGTACAGGAGGCAGCCAATCTATGATTCTCTCTCATCATTGATGTTTCTATCTCCCTCTCCCTCTTCCTTCCTCTCTGAAATAAAAATATATTTTAAAAAAGAAAGAAAAGAAAGAAAATCATGAACTTAAAAGACACAAAGTTTTATTTTTACTTACCTTGCCATCGAATTTGGAATACTCATTAAAGGGGTTATTCAGCTGCAGAGGGCACTGCTCTAGGCGTACGGATAATATTGACTGCTTTCCAGAACTTGGAGGTTTCTCTTTGAGGGACTTTTTTTCAAACAGTGACTTTAACTCTTGGGCTGTGATACAAGAGGAAGATAGAAACATCTTTGTGATTACACACAGAAAGACAGCCAGTCCACCTTACCTAAAGTCTTCTTTGGAACCTTAAGGAAGGAGGGTCCAGGGACATATTCAGGTCTAATGTGTGGGAAAAGAGCTTCATATACACTTCAATAAAAAACACACAGGTCAGGATTGTTAATTCAACTAGGGTTTAAGGATCGGGTTGCGTGGGAGGGATAGAGTCAGACAAACCAACAAAGCAGCCATTCTGTAAGAAATGCATTAACAGCTAGAGGACCTAAGCTTTCGCCTGGCTTTGCCACTACCAGGTGTATAATCTGGACAATTCACTAGACCTTTCTGGGCTTGTACAACTAGATAATTTTGAAGATCTCTCCCGAGTCTAATATTCTGTGATTTTGGAATTATAGTTCCTCAAGGTCAAGGTTCACATCTTAATCCTCTCACACTCTCCAATGTCACCTACCACAAAAATCTAGAAGACAAAGCTGATGAGGAAAAGGAGAATCCTATATAATAAAAGGCTAATATGCAAACTGACCAAATGGCGGAATGATGCACACTGATGCTCAACACAGGAGCTGCCCCCTGGTGGTCAGTGCACTCCGACGGGGAGCGCCGCTCAGCCAGAAGCCAACTCATGGCTGGCAAGCCAAGCGGTGGGGAGTGGGCCTAAGCCGTTAGTCAGACATTCCCCAAGGACTCCTGGGCTGCCAGAGGGATTTCTGACTGCCAGCTTAGGCCTGATCCCTTGGGGAGTGGGCCCAAGCCGGCAGGTGGACATCCCCCGAAGGCTCCCAGACTGCAAGAGGGCACAGGCCAGGCTGAGGGGCCACCCCCCCAAGTGCACAACTTTTGTGCACTGAGCCTCTAGTGTTATAATAGTATGGAGGGTTCATTATGCCATTCTCTCTACTTTTGTATATGTTTTAAATTTTCTATAATAAAAAGTTGTATTAAAGGAAATTTAAGCTAAAAATAAAAAAGTAGGTAACATATCACATTACTACTTGATCAAATCACTTTGCTGAGAGTAAAAGTTACATTTCTTACAAGATCTTGCATGATCAAGTTTCTTACTACTTACACCTCTGATTCCACTCTTCCCCTTACTTACTCTACTCCAACCAATAAGCATCCTTTCCTTGCTATTCCTTGTATACATCAGGCACACTTCTGTCACAGAAACTTTAAATTTGCTGTTCGCTTGTCTTAGAACACTCATCTCCAATATCTGTGTGGTTCACTCCTTCTCTGCTCAACCATCACCTTCCCAAAGAGTCCTTTCCTGCAACTGAGGCATGTGCCCTTGACTGGAATTGAACCCGCGACCCTTCAGCTAGCCAACACTCCATCCACTAAGCCAAATCGGCCAGGGCGAAAGATTTTTAATATATATAAAAGAATATATAGGAAATCATAGAAATGAGATGCAAAAAAGAGAAGTGAGTGGGATTTCTGGTTCTACAGGGTCATCATTTAGAAGCAACCATTATGAAAATCAGACCCATTGAGCACACTCAGGTTTACACTCACAGGAGAAAGCACGAACCACTTTACATAGTGTGGTTTAGCAGAGAGATTGGCCTTTAGAGGCAGACAGTGCTAGGTGCAAAACATGGCTCTGTACTGCACTACCACTTCCTAGCCTTGGAGCTTTAGCAAGCTTAATCTCTCTGAGCCTCCATCTCATCTGTCTCATCTAATCAATGATACCTACACCTTAAAAGATCAGTGCATTGGAGATAATGCCGAAGAACTGCTTAGAACAGCACTAGATAGGTGTTGGTGATAATCAGTAATCATTAAGATTGTTAGTTTTATAATAGTTGGAGTCAGTCAACAAAAACTATTGGACATTTATTAAATGCAGGCTGGTAATGGGAAGTGCTGGGAAGGTATAGAAGGCAGACTGCAGACATTTCTTTGAAAGGAGAAAAAAAGTCTAGGAAATATGATATAAATATTAGAAAATATTTTAATAGCACTTTATTTGGAATTTTTTTAAATGGCTTCTCTTATTGAGATTAAAGTTTTGAAAATACATAATATGGCCAGCTTCTTAATACATTATCATATGAACATATACTGCATGTGCTAATAATACCACTAACATAATGGTTTTTAAGCTAAAGGAAAGAATTCGCATATATGCAACAGAGATTGTTTCTGGGGCCATAATAAGGCAAGACGAAGTCTAGGTTAGAACTGCCAGGAGAAATCTACAGCCCAGAGGCCCGTACAAATCATAGGTTCTCCTTGGCTCTAAGAACAAGGTACTAGCACGACAGTGCGTACAAAATGTGCCTGTGACCCAGACCGAAGAGTGGCACCCAAATGAAGAGTTCAAATCTCAAAACACAAGAGGTATCCACCCAGAGGGTTGAAAAGGATGAATTAAAAATAAAAGCTCTTATATAATAATATACACCAAATATATAAATTTCAAATTAACAATGAAAATTATTTCCATTTACCTGATTGCTTAGAATTTCTTTCTTTCCACTGAATATTTTTGCATTTGATTTGGTTTTGCCTCTCTTTTCGAAGTCGTTCTAATCGTTGAGCTTGAAAAGAAATATAACTATAAGTTTGTCAATGAAAGTTTACTATTAAAAAAGACATAATTAACTACCTTTATATG